TTCCGTTCTGGAATGGTCAGGCCTTGTGTGATATGATATGGTGTGCCGTGGTTGACTCTGGGGTGGCCACACCATCTCCACCAACCCGCCACCCCCTCCCCCAAAAAAAGGCGCGGCTCCATTTTGAAGACCTGATCAGGCTATCGTGGTGGCCTCCCCGATGCGCGCGTTTGAACGGCTTCCCCAGCTGCACCAGGAGCCTCTGAAAGCAAAACATAAAGCTCCATGGAAACAAGCAACATTTTCCCACTAGAAAAAAACGGTGTACGTATTTAGAGAGATTGTGGTTTCAGTGAGCTCATGTCCTGCAGTCCTCGAGGTTCTTTGGGGGGTTGGAGCTCTGTTGGAGGCCACCGTGGGGGCTTTTCGGGGGAGGTCCTCGAAGCCGTGGGGCCTCGGGGGGCATTCCTTGCACCCCAGCAGGGCAACGACAGAGATCCCCCAAAACCCTCAGATCCGAGACCTCTTAGGGCTCTCCCTGTGCACGTCCATGCGGGCAGGAGCTGGCCGTGGGCGGCGCACCCCTCGCGCAAGCGAGACCGGCCCTGCGTTCACGGCGCGCGCCGATCGCGAGACAAAAGGGCCACGACGGGACCACTGAGGGTAGCAACGGGGCCACGAAGGGCAGCGAGGGGGCCTCAAAGGGCGACAGCGGGGCCACGAATGGCATGCATATGGGGCGGGCCACGACGGGCGCGAACCAGCGGGAGCCACGAAGGGCATATTGGGCCGCAGAGGGCAAGGACGGGGCCACTGAGGGCAGCAACGGGACCGCGGAGGGCAGCGAGAGGGCCACGAAGGGCAGCAGCGGGGCCACGAGGCGCATGCATATGGGGCGAGGCCCCGCCCACGGGAGGATTTTCCTCTGTGGCTCACCCTTCCGCCCGCGGTGGGCCCCGGGGGCGGCGAGCACACCAGGGGGCCAGCCACCCCCAGCTCACAGGCTTTTTTTGATCTGCGGGGCGAGAGCGAACCTCTTCCGCTAAAAGCTGGGCGGGCTACGCACAGCTTTAATTCGGGAGACATGGCACAGGAAGGCGGGGCCTCAGGCGGCCAGGAGCGGGCGGGGCACCGGGGAACAGGCGGTGCCGAAGCGGATGTGCAGGAAAAGGTACGCCTTGGACACCCCCAGCTCACAGGCGAAGGGGGTCGGGTGCTGCGGCACGCCGGGCGTGGGGGGGGAGGGGCGCCCCCGCCCCCCCCCTTAAGAGGAAGAGGGGAGGGGAGGAGGGCCAAGGCTGGGCGGCGAGCGACGAGGGGGCAGCTTCGGATTCCAGGCTCGAGGTGTTCCCGGACGTGTTCGTCGGTTCTCGGTGGCTTTCCAGCCTCGGGATGCTTGCCAGCGGCTGCGCCTCGCCGAGGGCGTTCTGGGGGTGCCGGGATCGTCCCGAACGACCGCTGGACACCCGAGATATGACCCAAGACGTGTTCCAGACCGACACTTGACAGAGGGCAGGGGGGATTGGGCCAGAGGGCGGGGGTGATTGGAAGGGCTGCGCACCCATCGTGTGCACGAGGCGTGAGTGATGAGTGTGAGCCGATGGGTGTTGGATGCCATGCGACGGGCACGGGAGGCTAGCTCGACGTGAGGCCGGTGCGAACCAGAGTGCAAGCTGTCAGCTCGCACACCTCACTGCTTGTGCCTTCGGACCCCAGACTACATCACCGTGGCGAAAGTTTCTGTCGCTCTGCCTTCGCCAATAATAGCGCATCAGCGCGGGGTAATTCGGAGAAGAAATACTCCGCGCTACTCCGCGCGTGGGCGCGTCCCGCTCGGGAGCTCGTAGGGCGTGGGGCGGAGGAGTTTCCAGTCCGGTTTTGGGGGCAACAGAGCTGTGAGCATGAAGCGGATTGGAAACTGCTCTGCCGAATGACGCAGTCACCTTGTCATGCTGGAAATAGCTAGAGGGAACAGGATATATCATCATCACCTGGCAATTTGAATACACTGTTACCCCGGCTGTGTAGTGAGGCGCGTTTGGTCGCCAGTGTCACTACACGTCCCCTCACGTACTGCATGCGCATGCAGTCACCATGTTGCGACGCGTCGAGCCCGATGCAATTCGATATCAGTGTGAGTCAAGCCTAGCGTATGTGGCACATCGTGTTGGGATATTACATCAGCAAGCCACTCCTCTCCACATTGGTCCAGGGTAGCATCCACCACCAAATATTAGATTTGACATTGAGATGTGTGCGAAACAGAAGCGCAAGCAGGTGGGCCTGATCTCGGAGATGATTGGGCATCCCTCCCATGTGGCACTATGTTACAAATCTGTGCTCGTCAGCAAGTCTACGACGTCCACGACGCAACTGCTGTGCATATATCATGTTTTGCCATCTTGGCCTCTACCGTTTGTGCAGTTGTCCCTCAGGACGTTGCATATGCCCATCGGGCTCGGTGAATCCAAGAGACAGGATTGCAATAAATATTGCCAATAAGCTCGCGTGCAGAGAAAACATCTAGCAGTGCAAGCAGCATGGCAAAACAAGCCAGAGCCCCTCAGAGTGAGAGCGCTCAAATACCATGGAGCGAAAGCTCCGTCGGGGTGACGATATCGTGAGCAGCTTCCTGGTTTGGGTATCTACAGTCTGGGTGTCATCTTACAGCCAGTCTCCCATATTTGATGATCGGGGTCGCGCAAGGCCAAGTCCCGTTTGCAGAATGCATGAGTGTACAGTTTTATACGAGGTTTGGAAGACAGTCACGCTGTGATATTGAGCAGGATACCAGCATGCTTGAGTTGCTGCTGGTGGGCAGCAAGCAGGTATGATTCTGTGTCAGAAATCGCCACTAAGGTTCTTAGTGGAAGGCATCGAGAGCATGGAGGCAGCAGGGTCTGCATCTTCTGGGTCCTGAGCGCGCGGATCAACAAGTCAGGCTTGTGCCAGTCATTGCTTGGGGTTCACATCTGTCGGGTAGTCGAAGTAGCCAGCACCGTTTACCGGCAACATTTTTGACGGGAGCAGACCATCAGGAGCACACGGGCAGCACAATGACAAGACAGTATCATCGTTGATGGACGTGTGCGTGCCCTCATGGAACATACACACACACACACACACACCTATCAATGATTACCGTGTGCGTGACCATATCCGACACGCGCTTTACAGCATGGAGACTTGCATGGTGTTCCGTTGTAGGCCTGCCTAGAGGAGTTCTCTGGCTTTCTGACAGCACGGAGGGATGGCTGTATCTCTCAGCCGCAACTGCTCGGACAGTGCACCTGCTGGCACGCTTGCTTGCAAGCCTGCCAGATTGGGTCAACTGCAAGCTTGCTGGCAACTCAGCGTATCTCGGCCCGGCCGGGGCGAACTGGTGACCCAGTGGGTTGGTGGTGTATTAGTGTCAAGTCGGGCATGTCCTTTTACAGCAGGAATATTTCAAAAATGGTCACAAAATACTACAGGGACGATTTTTCGATCACTTGTCTGCAATATTTAAGTATGTTTTGACTACTTTGTGTTTTTCGGCCATAACCCGCCTGTAGGAGGACATGTCCGACCTAATATTAGTGTTCTCCAGATTGCTCCAGCCTGGCTCGCAGTGGCCCAGGTGCCTCCACGGAGCCCCATCTGAGGCGAATCAGTGACCCAGCCGGCCACGCTGAGCCGCCAGACCTAACCGAAGGAATGCGTGACCAGGTCGGCTGGTGGAGCGCAGGTCAGACCAAACCAGCCTGGTTGACCCAACCAGGGGCAAACCGGTAAGTGATCGGTTTCTCATTCATTGTTTTGCCGATCGGCGCGGGCCCTCGCCCCCACCCCATCCGTCCCCCCATGGAGTAGATCTTGGCTGTTTTTGGCACCTGTTCCGAGCAGGTGGCGTCTCCCCCATGGGACGCACTGTTGCAATCAGCCGCACTAAGCAGAGGTCCGGAGCCAGACCCCCCTCTCGCCCCCTTCCGCCCAATGTCGAAACGCCGAATAAGAAAACACTCACTAATGTTCCATGCGGACGCCCGTAACCGTTCTTCCCCAACCATCTTGCGGGGCTGGGTCCTCCTTGTGAAGAGGCAGCGCCCCGCGTCTCCGTCCTTCCTTCCCTCCCGCTGCCCCCCCCCCTCCTCCCGATACACCCCCTCACATTGTCTGTGGCCCCATAGGAAGCTCCGCCGAAGGCCCCAGTGTCGGGGTTCGCATGCGATTCCCAGCCCATTTCGGCACACACACACACACACACACACACCTCACACGCTTCGTGACCCCGTTCCCCGCCCATTTCGGCACACCCCTCACACGTTCCGTGGCCTCACAGGGAGCTCCACCGAACGCCCCACTGGCCGTTCCCGCATGCAGTTCCCCGCACATTTCGGCACACCACTCACACGCTTCGTGGCCCCATACGGAGCTCCACCTAAGACCCCAGTGGCATGGTTCGCATGCGGCACCCCGCCCACTTCGGCATACCACTCACGGGTTTCGTGGCCCTATAGAGAGCTCCACCGAAGGCCCCAGCGGCCGTCCTAGCATGAGATTTCCCGCCTATTTCGGCACACCTTTCAGGGAGCTCCACCTTAGGCCCCAGTGGCAGGGTTCGCATGCGGCTCCCCGTCAATTCCGGCGCACCCTCACATGTTTCGTGGCCCCACAGGAAACTCCACCGAAGGTCCCAGTGGGTGGGTTCGCATGCGGTTCCCCGTGAATACTGGCGCATCCCTCATATTTTTCGTGGCCCCATAGGAAATTCTACCGAAGACGATCTTCAGAATTGTGGTGCTCACATCTGCATATGGTTGGGCCCTTCCCCCAGATACTTGAACCCAGTGTAGATTTGCCCAGTTGGGGCAGACTGACCATCCAGTTGACAGGTTGACTCTCGTCTTCCCCAGGCTGCTTTAGCTCAGCTTGCTTGAGCCCAGGCTCCTGAGCGAAGCCCCACCAGGACGCGTTGATGACCCAGTTGGTGGCACGAAGTCGCTCGCCCTTATGGGCAAATAGATGACCCAGTCGACCCATCGGGTGTAGCTCAGGCCTGATTGATTTGGTCGAGTTCAGAAAGTGTTAATTGGTGACTCGCCAAGTGACGGCCCGATCCATTTTGCTTACTGGTTTACTTACAAGCTTGCTTGTTGCTCGCAAGGCTGCTTGCAAGCTTGCTTGCTCGCCTCCTAGACCAGGGCAGAGGCACGGTTCCTCCATTCCTTTTCCTGGTAAATAACTCCTCCCTGTTGCATCCCGAGACGTGTCGGTAGGGCGGGCCGGGCGTTTTGTCGGATTTCCTCACCACGTATGACTTTGAAGCTTAACATTTGCAAAAGCTTCACGGATGGAAGGGGGGTGTTTTCAAAATGTGGTGTTCCAATTAGAGCCTTGCACATTGGTCTGAAAAGTTCGCAAGAACTTCACACATGGAGGGTGGGCCGTTTTCAAAATGGGGATCTCGCTTCAGTGCCGCGCACATTAGTTTTAAAAGTTTGCAAGAGCTTCACGGATGGAGGGCGGGCCGTTTTCAAAATGCGGTTCTCGCTTCAGCGCACATTCGTCTGAAGAGTGCACGAAAGTTTCGCGAATGGAGAGCGGGCTGTTTTCAAAATGCGGTTCTCGCTCCAGCGTCCGCACGTTCGTTTCAGAAACTTGCAGGCGGTTCACGGTTGGAAGGCGGCTCCTTTTCAAAATGTGGTTGTCGCCTTAGCGCCGCGCATATTCGTCGTACGGGTTCACAACATGTTCAAGGGTTCTTATGGTTGACGTCCCAGACATGTTGTTTTTTGCACGACGTAGATGTGTCAGGGCGCAACAATCGCGCTGATCCGCGGTGTTGAAGTTCCATGAATGGCGTTCATGCGCGATTCAGGATCGTAAGGACGCAACGGTAACACGGCATTCTACTCCCAGGAATGATGTGTTGGCACGGATCAGGATTCTCAAGCGGTTGCCATCCAATGGGGCACATCTTTCGGTGAACATAATTCTTTGTAGAAACCCATGAACACGGAATTTGGCGGGAGGGTTCATTGCATTATCATTGGTGATTTTGGGTTTACATTTGTCCTCCTCCTCCTCCTCCTCCTCCTCCTCCTCCTCCTCCGCATGTCCTCCCCCTCTTCATTCCATACATGCCCCAGTGTACACACACATTTCCCCTATCATGTTCAGTCTGTACTGGAGTCTGCGCTGATAGATGCTCATTTTCCGCAGTAGGTGAAGGATGTTTGATTCTATCAGGGCAGAATCGTTGCAGCTTGCCTGGGGAGAATGATCGGGAGAGGGCTGGGAAACATTGCACGGGAAACGGCTTGATAAGTTTCAGACGCGTTGGGCTTTGCTCCTTTCAGAGAGGTAGGCGGCGCGCTCCGTGCCCCCAGTATTCGCGGCCTGCTCGAGCTCGGCGGGGGCGGAGGATTGTGATGTCGGGGCGCACGTCACGGGGGTCAGCGCGAAGAGGGGTCAGCCAATCCCCTCTGGCTGGCCCGGGCTTATGAGCCTTCTGGAGCCCACACGCCCTTCCCGCCTTCCCGCCTTCCGTGGACCCGGGTGTGGGAGTGACTCAGCGGCAGGAGTGGGCTCGCGACAGGGCCGTGGCTGGTCTGGGGTAGCGCTGACCCAGGCTAGCGTTTTCCCGATGATGAAGCTTCGCGCGAGGCCTGTACGACCAGAGAGTCGCCGCCACGCCCGCGCAGCGTATCCGTCTTTGGCGCGGCCAGCTCTGTGGCCAGGCTGCCTTTGAGAGGGGTCGACCGCTCGCGCCGTTCCGCCCATGCTCGCCATGGGGGGGCCCAAGATGCCAGCGGAAGCCAGACGGCGCCGCGTCCGCCACTGCATCATCATCATCATCATCATCATCATCATCATCATCATCATCATCATCATCATCATCAACATCAACATCAACATCAACATCAACATCATCATCGTCAACATCAACATCAACATCAACATCATCAACATCATCAACAACAACATCATCATGTTTGTCCTCCTCGTCCTGCACCTCCTTGTGTTCAGCATCTCCCCTCGTAGACGAAAACTGCATGAACATAAATGTTTGGAGGTCCGCGCGGACTCTTGGGTCGGCACAGACCCCATCCCACCCCCTGGGGCATCCGAAAGTGTATGTTCATGACGTGTTCGATTATTACACAATTCCCGCACCTCCGGACTCCTCGTGCTCAGCCTCACCCCGCCCGACATTGCAAGCCTCGCCTGCAGCCAGGGCGGTGTTGCTGGGTAATACTCGAGCGCTGTGTCTTCTGTGCTTGATTTGCCCACAAATCGAAGAGGTCGTTGCAACATTCGTCCGCTGCTGGGCTTCTTCCGCTGGTCCAGTATGGTCGTTGAAGTTTGCCGTTGTGTTCGTGGGGATTGGGAAGCTTCTGTGCAGTGGTACTTCCCCAAACTGTCCTACGAAGATCCTGCGGGGGAAAGGCAGGTGCTTGTCACCTTGACGGCAGCATTCAACGGAACACACACCCATCAAAGTTTCGCTTTCGAAGTCCGAAAACACAATAAGGCAAGAGTACTTAGTTGAAAACAAATGTTTGTTATTTCCAGCCCCTTCGTGGGATGTCGCATCGTGGGCTGCCGCATCCCGGAGGGCTCCTCGGGGTCCCTGGGAAGCTTCGGGGGGGCTCCTGCTGGGGGCCTCTCGGGGGCTTCATAGGGGCCCCGTGCGGCCTCTTGGGGGCTGCCTTGGGCCAGTCTTGGGTCACACCCAGTGGAGCCGTATTGGGGCTGTGTCGGGGCAAAGTTGATGCTTGCTCCGATTGGTACCCGCAGGAGGAGGAGGAGAAGGAGGCGGAGGAGGACGCGGAGGAGGAGGAGGCGGAGGAGGCGGAGGCGGAGGAGGAGGAGGCGGAGGAGGCGGAGGAGGCGGAGGGAGGAGGATTGTTGGGCCGCTGTTGGGCTCTCGGACCCTCTTGGAGCCATGAGATCTGGGCGCCACCTCGCGGCCTGACCAGCACATTGGAGCCCTTCAGGTGAGAAGGCCAAAAGCAGATTTAACCTCCTCTTCCTCCTCCTCCTCAAGGACATGTACTCCCCTGAGTTTGGCATTTGGGGGGAGCCTCCGATGGGATCTTCCTCAGCCATCCTGGACCATCGTTTCGGTTAGTTGTGCTGCCTTGGACCACCTTGGGGCCGTCTTGCGAACATCTCAGGCCCGGGCACGTTTTGGCCCGTGCCATTGGGGCCGGTGTTGGGCTCTCAGGGGATTTTTCTGGACCTTTCTGGGAGCCCTCTTGTGGGAGCCTGGGATCTGCTGGGGGCTCTCCTGGGACATCTTGGGGCCCCCTGCAGTCAGTGGAATTATGTTGGAAAGTTCAGGGCTCGGGTTTTTATGTATCGGGGTATAGCTGAGCCGGTCTTCACACTTCGATCATCGCTGCGCCGCGCCCGTCGCTCCGGCGCCCCACCTGTGCCTGGCGAGGGCGCTCCAGCAGCCCATGCCGACCGCACGGATGCGCTCCAGAATTGCATTATGTGCCGAAGAAGTGTTCTCGGCGTCCCCGTTTAGCACTAGTTATCGCTGCTGCAGCCCTTCTGCCTCGCCGTCGGCGGAAACATGTGTACCGAAGAAGCACGCTCCAGCAGCCAGCCGACGGCGTTGCGGGTCCAGCCCCGCATGTCTACCGGGCGAGAGCGATGCAGCAGCCGACGGAGGGCGCTGCAGCATTGAGTTCTCAGTGAGCGGGGGCGCTCCAGCATCCCACGACGTGCGCTCCGGCAGCGCGTTTTTACTGGGCGCTGGCGCTCCACGCCGCCCGCGCCGCCGACAGCGTCACCGCCGCCTTCGCCGTCGTCGTCGTCGGCGGCGGCGCCGCCGTGGTTTCGATCTAACCATACGTTCTCACTAGCAGAATATTCCACTGACTGCTGGGGCCAGCTCTGAGAAAACCTAAATGCAAACACGGTGGCCGTCTGGAGGGCTTCTTGGCGGCTCATTTTCGGCCTCCTTGAGTCACACTTGCAGGGCATTGGGATGTCTTTCCCCATGTCGGAGCCACCTTGAGCCAGCTCAAGGTCGAACATCGATTCACTCACACTCTTGGGCTCTCCTGGGGCTCTCTTGGAGTTCTCTTAGAGCCCTCTTGGGGCCCTATCATGGAGTATTGAGGCCCCGCTCGGGCTCAATCGGGGCCCTTTGGGGGACATTTCCGCGCCCAAGAAGCCCACAACACATGTTTCTGAGCGTGGCCCGCCTGGGAGCCTTCGATGAAAGAAAATTCGTAAGCTTGGGCCTCTCAAGAATAATTATCTCAAGCTAGCCCAGAACGTATGAAACATCTCGGGGTCATGGTGCGGCCACCGTAGGGCTGGGGGCCTCTTGGGCGCTCTCTCGGCGCTTCCGCCCACTCCTGGCGCGCTCTGCGAGGGGCGGTTTGTCCTCAGATCCCCATGGGCGCCCTCGCCTGCGCGGACTGGGAGAACAACAGATCAACCACATTACTTGGCTTGCTCCCATCCAGGAGCCAACACACCTCTGGCCGGTCAGGACGGCAAGTCTGTCATGCCCAAAATCTGTGGAGTTGCGCATCGGTAAAATATGAGCCAAGCCGGGACAAACAGAAAGGGACATCCCCGACTATTTGCCGACAGACGAGCGGGACGAAATACGTTGTCTTCCTCATCACGAACACTCGCAAAACAAATCGCTCTACGCCGACACCAAAGGCGGACACTACAAACCTGTTTCCTCTTTCGTGTGGCTACACGGTGTGACAGATACGGTGGGATCTGATTTGGGGGAGCAGGCTCAAGTTGCTTTCGGGCCCAACGCACCCTCTGTGCCAGCAGGGAGGCGGAGGAGAAGATGGCCATCATGGGTCTTCAGCTGGATCAGGGCCCCATCCTTGCAGGCTCTGCTGCGCGCGTGCAGCTGTGCCTTGGCGCGGGATCTGCATAAAAGCATCCGCAGCGCGCAGCGTCCAGTGCAGACTGCAGAGCACGCCGCCGGCGCTTCATTATCGGAGCATGTAGTTCCGACCCGAGGCCCCTTGTCCCCATCCCTCCTCCCCCGTGCTCGCCCCATCTCTTCAGCCCCCTCCCGCTCCCGGCTCTCTGCCCATCCCTTCCTCTGCTCTTCTGTCCCCCCCGTTCCCTTCTCCCCTCTGCCTTCCCTTTCTCTCCCAGCCGCTCTCCCATCCCCGTTGTCCGCGTCCCCCATTCCCCCTCGCGTGCCCCTGCTCGTGGGGGCAGGGGCCGCCCCGCGCTCGTTCTTGCCGCCGCCCACGCCGCCAGCGCGGCGGCGCACGGTCACAGCGCAGCGCAGCCCACCCTCCTCCGTGCTTGTCATGATTTCCCCCCGCCCTATCATTCAATCATCTCTGTCCCCCACTCCTCGGAGATGCTGCTCATTTTTGGTAGCCGTTCCTACGAGGTGCCACTAAAGCATGTCGCATATGTATATAGATGTGTGTATATGCAGATCATGCACATGCACATTCATCAACGTATGCATGTACATATGCATATGCATGTACATGCATGCATGCATACATACATACATACATGCTTACATATATACGTATGTTAGCCAGCGTGGACCCCAAACTGGATGTTCCTAGAGATCCATGGTGTGCAATCCGTGTGGTGGAATCCAGGTTTCGCAATCTACGTTGTGCAAACTATGCGGTGCAATCGATGCGATTCCAGATATGTTGTGCAAACCAGCGTGGTTAAATCTAAGTGGTGCAATTAGTTTCTGTTTGCAGTGAATGTTCAACTCCACCGTTCGCGCAATTATCGCACACACCCACCCGCAACTCGATTTGCAAACCCCATGCGGCGGCGATTGTGATAACTGTTTGGCGCTGGATGGCGCATCGCTGCAGCCGCGCTAGCGCGCGTAGGCTCGCGCGCAGAGCGGCCAGCTAGCCTGGCGCACCCGACGCAGCCGCGGTGGCGCTGACCGCTGGGAACTGCCCAGCGCGTCTCGCAGGCCACGCTGACGCGCGGGCACCTCAGTGCGAGTCAGTGACTCGGACGGGCGCGGTATCATGGCGACGTCGACATCAGCAGACACGACGACGAGGGTAAAAATGCTTGCGACAGCGATCACGATGACGACGGCAAGGCCAATGACGGCGCCGATGCTGATCGCGCCAATTACGGTGATGTTGCCCACGCGTCGGTGATGAAGGTTCTGAAAATGATTTCGACAAGCGCGCGCGGCCGACGGGCGCGAGTGGCCAACAAGGCATTATTTGACTAGGATCGGAGAGGGACAGGGACGAGCGCTAAAGAGGAGGAGGAAGAGGAGGAAGAGTGGGGCGTCGCGCGCAGCAACGCGGCGGAATCATGCCTGTTGGAGCTGCGAGAGTGTGGTGCGGATGGACATTCAAAGGGGGGGAGCCGTGGGAGGGCGACGAAGACGGGGCCGACAAAGGAGGAAGGGGAACGGAAGGCGGGGGTGAACGACCGTTGCCCGTGCGCACGAGAGCTCCCAGGAACAGAGCCGCGAGGGGGAACGAAGGGACAGCAACCACAGGCGGCAAGCGGACGGCGCGGTGCCCGAGCGCACCCGACGGGCAGCGGCAGACCGGCGTGGATCCACAAGCGATGCGCAGAAGCGAGGCGGACGCGCGTGACGCCCGCAAGGAGCCAGGGGGTGAGGACCAGACGCAAGGAAGGTGGCAGGCAGTGGAGTCAAGGGTGGCCTCCTCCTGCGCTTCAGTCTCACCTCCCTTGCCCTGCTGCCGCTCTGGTTCGCAGGGCCCTTGCGTTACTTGGCGCGCCGGCCGCGGGCGCGCGCGAGCCCCCGTAAAAGGAAAGAGAACACGCTCTCTCTCTCAGCACGGGTCCCCCTGTTTGTACTTCGTGTCTTTGTGAGTTCCGTACAGCTACTCCCGTACATTCCACAGGGTGGCAGGCAGTGGAGTCAACGGTGGCCCTATCGGCAAGGAGAGCGAACGGGGGCGAGCGACAGCGGCGGCCAGCAGGCCGCGAGGAGCAGCCCGTGACGAGGCGTCGAAGCTTCGGGGGGCGGAGACGGGCAGTGGCAGTGGCGGCCAACGGGCCGAACCAAAAAAAACGCGGGGGGACGACACCCACACGCATGAGTGCACACGCGTATAAGTGCACCTGATACGTGTATATATATATATGTATATAATACACACTGTACATTCACATATGCGTGTGCACGCGAGATATATAATTGAATATGTGCACCATTCGACGTGCATGTACATCATTTTACGCGTACATCTATACATGGCATTCATACACGCATGTAGTCTCAAGTATATGTATGTGTGTGCGCGCTGGCCCCAGCCGCCCCACCCCATCCAAATTGTCCACATGATCATACACATTCTTCATTATCGCAAGAATCCCCCTATCGATGTTTCCCTTGCTTCTCCGATTCCTCATCCACCCTCCCTGCCACTTCCGATTAGTACGTCTTATCATCCCTCCTCTTCCTTGTCAGCTCTGCTCGTCGTCCCTGCTGCTGTAAAAAGTCCCTTCTCCATTTTTCCCACTCTGGATTAGATCGACGAAAGGAATAGGACAGTAAGAAGCGAGACAAGATAAGACATCTCTCTGCTTTGCATCCA